GGTGACACTGTCAGACATCCACACATTTATTGCTGGTAGAAACACAACCAAGGTGGCACAATTCTGGAAATGTGAACCATAAACCTTAACGTTTTCATACCTTGGGCTTTTAAGAATTTTTCTAAGAAAAATTTCAAAAACAAAAATAAAAATTTATACCTAGAGATATTTATTGTAACATTATTTGCACAATAATAAGGCATTAAGTAAATTATCATGTGATGGAATTTTATAAAGCTTTTTAGGCATCATTTGTGAAGAGTTTTGGTGACATAGGAAAGTACTTCTCTTGTACTATTAGGTGATTAAAAATAGAATACAAAGTGGTATATAAATTATAATTTCAACCATTTAAGAAAATATATGCATATCAATATTCCAAAAATAACCAAATAACTACTGAGTGATAGGATTATGGACAATTACCAGTTTCTCCTCTTTAACCTTTTTTTTTTCCTAAATTTTTGTTTTTTTTTTTTTTTTTTTTTTGAGACAGAGTTTTGCTCTGTCACCCAGGCTAGAGTGCAATGGCACAACTTTGGCTCACTGCAACCTCCGCCTTCTGGGTTTAAGGGATTCTTCTGTCTCAGCCTCCTGCCACCTAGGATTACAGGCACCTGCCACCACACCCAGCTAATTTTCTTTTATTTTTAGTAAAGACAGGGTTTCTCCATGTTGGCCAGGCTGATCTTGAGCTCCTGACCTCAGGTGACCCCCCCAACCCCTGCCTCAGCTTCTCAAAGTGTTGGTATTACAGGTGTGAGCCACCACACCTGGCCTACCTTTCTATATTTTTTAAATTTTCTACTGCCTTATTTTTATAATCATAAAATATTTTTGTAAAATCATATTTATAGGATCTGTAATAAGATGGTAAATGCTTATAACAGCAAATTAAGATGTATAATTGTATATATAGTATGTCTACAACATTTAACTTTTGTAATATATATATTTAGAAAGGAAAACTCCAAAAAAAAAAAAAACTCCAAAATGTGGTTGTCTCTGGGTAATAAGATTGAGCAATGGCTAATTCTCCTTTCTACTTTTCTGCATTTTTCAATTTCAAACAATGAAAATATATTAATCTTATGATAATAACAACAATAAAATTTTATATTTTTTAGTTCAAAATTTAACTCAGCCTTATTTTGGTAGAATTTTCAAAGTAGAAGATTAAGTAAAACCAATTTGGAGGAGGATCTAATTATTGTTCAAGGAAGAAATCTTGGCAAAAACATCAGTGAGATTAAAACAGTCTCATTGTAGCTTGAAAAAGACCCCATTCAACTTGATTTTCATAATCTATTCTGCAGTCACTGTTAGACTTAAGAACAGCAGTTCAACTTTGACATTTTCGGTACTCTGACTTTTCTCTCTATTCCAACTCACAGCTATGTCAGTTTTGAAATTTAAAGCATCTCGGGAAATAAGAGACTGTTTAACAGACAAAAGGACAATAAAAATACAATGTCTCTTCATTGTCTTTTTCATCTTCAACATGTTTTACTAAGATTCATTTGTGAAGAAGTGACAGATGTGGAGAGTTTACCAAAAAGGGACACAGCCTTTTGCAGATGATCAGGGAGAATTTCTTTCTGCTGATCCGTGTTGTCGTTAACTAGCAATATGGTTGGTTGGCATTTCCTCCCTGGAAGTGAATTTTCCCCATTACTGGAATATCTTTCTTCCACTTCATAAATCTGATACTGTGAGCATCAGAAAGCCCTGTTACTGTCCGACACTGCTTCTAATGGGCTGGAAAATAAGCAGCTCTATGTTTATGACAACTCTGACTACTTAGGGGTGAAAACGGAGAAAAACAAAGAAGGCCATTAAAATGCAAAATAATTCAAATGGCGAAATTAATATCTTCTGTTTTTGGAGTATAATCTGCCAATCACTTTGTGTTTTAATGTGCTGAGAATGAAAAGAAGAAATTAATCTCAAGTAGCATTTTAGCTGATAATAAATTATCAATTTTAAACTAAGATTATTTTTCTAATGGAGCATGCAATATATCAGACAAAGTATTTATCAAGAAGCCTCCTTCCCCTTATCCCACCCTGAGGCTATAACACTGAGCTGCTTTACCATTAACACAGGAATTTGTTGATACACTAAACCTTTTGAAACCTTTCTCTCTATTCTTTCTACTCACACAGTAAATTATTATGTGATGGAATTTTATAAAACTTTTTAGGCATCATTTATGGAGAGTTTTGGTGACATAGGAAAGTACTTCTCTTGCACTATCAGGTGATTAAAAATGGAATACAAAGTGGTATAAAATTATAATTTCAAACATCCTAAATATATACATGTAAATGTAACTATTCCAAAAATAACCAAATAGCCACTGAGTGATGGGATTATGGATAATTATTGGTTTTTTCACTTTACCTTTCTATATTTTCTAAATGCGTATACAGATAAATAAATGTCAAAGGCTTGTGGAGTAAAATATGAAGAACAGAAGAAAGGACATTGTGGCAGAGGATGCTAGCTGCTCACCAATAACTAATTGCTGTCTTTCCAGGACACACGGGTAAACTACATTTGCCAGCCTTCCTTGAAGCTATGAGCAGTCAGTCACGTGGCTGGGTTCTGGCCAATGGAATTCAGGAAGAAGAGATGACATCACTTCTGGACCTGGACCAGAAGAACCTCCATATGCAATCCTGTCTCTCTTGCCTCACCTGCCAATTGATTAGAGAAGTCCTCAATGACATTAAAAACAAAACAAAACAAAACAAAACAAAAAAATGGTGAGGAAATAACACAGGAAAGCCGCCCAGGAACTGTTTGTCCACAAATGCTCATATTGAACTATTACATGAGCAAAAACTTAACTTTTATTATGTTAAGCCACTGAAATGTTGGGGTTGCTTGTTTTAGCCTAACTAGGCTACCCTACAACCATAATTACATCTACTTAAACAACTGTTGAAATAGCCATCCACATAGAGAACTTTACCTATGTTATATCCATGATGAAAAGCAGAAACTTAAAAAATGACAAATTCTATGTTTTCAGCCCACAGATAAATAATTCAAATTACTGTTTGATTTCACATACCCTTGTTCTCTAGATGTAGTGAAACATTGAAAACGTTTTTGCTGACTTGGTGGCCATCAATCTGAGAACTTCCTATCACTCTACATAGGATATGATTAGATTTAGATTTAGAAGAAGACATCACAGAGAAAGTAACAGGGTAACATTTCGGCTCAGTCTTGAAATATGAGTAAGAGCAAAACATGTGATTAGTGTCCAAGAATTTTAAACAGGAAAGGGTTCTTAAGATAAGAAAACTAAGAGCCAGAGAGGCTGGAACTTGTCCAAGGTCACACTACTATACAGTAGCAATACTTGGTTTAGATGAGGAATCCCTTCACTTTCAGGCTAATGTTTCTTGTCTTTCCCATTTTCCTCCGTATTACCTCACGTAGCAAAGTATGTTTTGTGAATTGTCTGCTATTAGGCAATGACTGCATGTATTTTCAAATTTTTAAACATCTGTCTACACACACACACACACACACACACACACACATCCATAAACATACCTGAATGTATGTAGGTATGTTTCTAGCTGAACTGGAGCAGATCCTCTAATAGAATGTGTCCATAATTAAGGAATACTTCTCCATTGCTGCTGTCTTCAAATAGCAAATATCTAGCCACATATACTATGTGGTAACTAGTCTCCTAAGATGGAAACCAAATTTCATGCCTCATGGTATTCATGCCCTCATGTGATTGTCTCCTACACTGACTCAAGATTTCCTGTCAAATGTGGTCAAAGTGGCCTGACACCAATATCAGCCTTTAAAAGGACTGGCTGCTACATCTTCCTCTCTCTTGGAACATTCCATTTGTGGAGCCCAGAGCTACAGTGTAAGAAGTACAGCTATGTAATTAGGGCAGGCACAGTGGCTCACGGCTGTAACCCCAGTACTCTGGGAGGCTGAGGTGGGAGGCTCATTTGAGATCAGGGGTTCGAGACCAGCCTGGCCAACATGGTGAAACTCTGTCTCTACTAAAAATACAAAAATCAGCCAGGTGTGGTGGCATGTGCCTGAAATCCCAGCTACTTGGGAGGCTGAGGGACAAGAATTGCTTGAACCAGGGAGGTGGAGGTTGCAGTGAGCCAAGATCATACCATTGCACTCCGGCCTGGGCCTGGGTGACAGAGTAAGTTTCTGTCTCAAAATAAGAAAGCAAGAAAGAAAAGAAAAGACAGAAAGAAAGACAGCTACATAACTAAAAAGGCCACAGAGAGAGGCCATATCGAGGAGGAGAGAGGCCTAGTTGTCCTGGGAGCCCAGTCACAGCCACCAGGTGACCCCCACCATAGCCAACATCTGACTGTAGCCACAAGAAAGACTCAGTTAAACCTGTAGAACTTCATGGATGTGTCAACCACAGAACAATGAGAGTTAATAAACTGGTTACTGTTTTAAGCACTCACTAAGTTTTAAGGTAGTTGGTTACACAGCAATAAATTACCAAAACAGAATTTGGTTCATAGAAGTAGGGTGTTGCCATCACAAAAACCTAAAACATATGGCATTGGCTTTGGAATTTAGCAGCAGGCAGAAGCTGAAAAGCTCCTTGAGGAGATGAATAGTGAAGTCTTGAAGGACAGCAAGGAAACTGTTATTGGAAACTGAAGAAAACGTGACCTGAATTATATGCAGCCCAATTAGCAAAACTATCACCTGCAGCATGGAAGACAGAAAGAACATGCCATAAACAGATAGCTCTGGCTAGGAGATTTTCAGTCAGAATGCAGTCAGCTTCTCCATATCCGTGGATTCTCCCTCCATGGTTTCTCATCCATTGATTCAACCAACCATGGATGGAAAAAATATTCAAATAAATAATAATAGTACAGCAACAAAAATAATACAAATTTTTAAAGTGCAGTACAACAATCATTTACATAGCATTTACATTGTATCTTGTATTATATGTAATCTAGAGATGTTTTAAAGTATACAGAAGGACGTGCATAGGTTATATGCAAATACTATACCATTTTCTATAAGGCACTTGAGCATCCTCGAATTCTGGTATCTGCAGTGTTTCTGAAACCAATTCCCCACACGTATGACTGTATCGAAAGCACCAACTGGCTTCTTTTGGCTGCCTGTGTTAACATACAGAAGGAGAAAAATGAGCTAAAAAAACTAATTCTTCAACTTTTAACCAAAATTAGGAAAAAATATACAGAATTTAGGACTTTCTGGATTCAAAAATAACACTTTCTGTTTTCTAGCTCCTACAGGCAGTAAAAGATCCTGGAAGAGATGACTTCAGAGCAAAGATCAAATCCAGGACACTTCTAACAAAACGTGATCCCAGGATTAATTTTGCATCAGTGATATAGCTAATTTGTTGAGATCTTAGGAAGTGATAACCCTTAGGAAGGGTCCTCATAGACCCTTTTATCTACACAGAAAGACTTCTAAGAACTTTAAATCGTATGTCTCATAGACACTCTCACTCAGACAATAGAGCTTCTGAGAATATTAAGATATTGTCCCACAGCACCCTGATTCCCAGGCCAAGGTAGACAGGGTCTGTCTCAAAAACAATTGTGCATGTGGCTTCTGTGTAATCAAGTGAACCCTGTAAGGTTTATAGGACACTCACACAGTTTAAGAGAACTGTACTCATAGGGTACCATTAGCTTGGACTAAAAGATGTAAACATAGTTTAAAATGAAAATAAGTATCTGGTCCCCACGTTTGTACTGATAGAAATAAAGCTAAGGAAGCTACTCAGCTGTAAATATAGGCCATTTCTTATGCAAAAGGAAAGATGACTCAGAGAGTGAAAACAAAAGCCTAAGTGGTGGAACCCAGAGCCACAGACGACCACGCTAGGGAGTAGAACTGAATTTTGATCAAAGAATTGCAACATTTTCCCAACTTAATTTGAGAATTGCTATGAACCAGTGACTGCTCTATGTAGCCTATTTTTCCTTTCATGAATGGGATGTCTTTTTCCATTTTTCATCACTGCCTAACCATTGTATATGTGTGTTGGGTGGGGAGCAGATTCTTTGTCTTTTTACTTGATCAGTCGTCAGGGTGACAGTAGCCAAACCCAAGAAACCTTAAGCTTGCCTACATATGATTGAGGTGACATGAACCCGGATTTAAAGCCCAAATTCGATGTCATAGTATGAGTAGACTTCAATAGCCTTGGAAGGGAGAAAAATGTATTTTGCATGGAGGAAGGACATACATCATTGAGAAATAGCAGGTGGACTGTGCTAGAGTCTCCAAGGATGACCACCCATTATACCATGACACTCAGTATTCATGGCCTTGCATAAGCCTCCAATATTGAATCTGGGCTGGCCTGTGACTTGAGTTAACCCCTAGACTTCAGCAGAAGTTATGCTACACTATTTCTTAGCCTAACCGTTAAAAGAACTGACAGATTTTGTTTTCTCTGACTTGGAATGCTTGCTTTGGGAAACCCTAAGATGCCACATAAGAAGTCCTGCCACAGAGACCGCATGGAGTGACGATAAGAATAGAAGAGGTCTTGAGTCTCCTTAGGGAATAAACAGGCACAGTGATCCCAGTAAAGTCCGGATGACTCTAATCCCAGTCACCAGCTGACACTAACCACGCGAGAGATTCCAAATGAGATGAGCAGGCCTGCCCAGCTGAGCCCAATCAACCCATGAAACTATGAGAAATAATAAAACGATGGTTATTTAAGCCACTAGGTTTTAGAGATACTTGTTAACAGCAAAGATGATCAAAACTTATTTGCATGACTCCTGAGGACTACATGGGAATGAGTTTGAACCTATGTACAACCAAGATTCAGAAATATATAGGCATGTCCAGTGGGCTTGGGAAGAGGGCCACCATAAGCCAGACTCCAGAGAGGAGTCCGCCACAGCGATCCGGGCTTGAGGATAAGTGCTGAATAGATGGAAACATTTGTTCTGAGTTCAAATGAGCTTCAACTTAAGCCACCCTCATTGATCCACCTGGTTGCCTATATACTGTGAAGCTAAAAAGCAAGATTATCAGGAAAAAAAGTAAAAAAAAAAACAAAAACAAAAAACAAAAAATACCTTATTATTATGAGCCTAAGCAATTTTGCCAGAAGGTCTTTTCTCGCTTCTACCTCACTCTCATCCCTTGTCTCAATCCCTACCAGAGAGTCGGGGGGAAATATTAGCAACAAGCCAAAGAAAGGAGTGAACACCAAAGGTGGGAAACAGGTTAGTTCCCTTGGGTACACACCCCAAGTATAGCAAGAGAGAGCTTAGGCACCATCCATGTGGACAAACCAATAGATAGTTATTAATAATTAACGAGGTACGATGATGGAAGCTGCTGAAACAGAAGGATGGCAAGCACAGGCTATTGACACAAACTATATAAGAAACGTACTCCCATTTTTCTAGATTCACAGAGAGAAGAAAGATTGAGGTAAGGTGAGAAGGTAAGTTGAGAGATGCTATTAATTGACACACATATAGGGAAAAACAGTTGAAGTCATCTCATCCAAAAGCCAGAAACTTGTTGGAGACATTTGGGTTACATTTGTGCATCCTTTATAGGACTTATCGCAGTGAGCAAACACCATATTCTTAATCATCTTTTCATCTATAGTTCCCAGGACCATGCCTTGTACAGAGTAGGTCTCAATCAGTATTGGCTTAGAAATATTACGGCAATCAGAAATAAATGAAGAAGTGGCTGGGCATGTTGGCTCACGCCTGTAATCCCAACACTTTGGAAGGCCAAGCAGGCAGATCACTTGAGGTGAGGAATTCATGTTGACCAGCTGGTCAACATGGAGAAACCCCATATCTACTAAAAAATACACACAAAAAAAGGTAGCCAGGCATCATGGTGCATGCCTATAATCCCAGCTACTTGGCAGGCTGAGGCAGGAGAATCGCTTGAACCCAGGAAGCGGAGGTTGCGGTGAGCCGAGATGGCGCCACTGCACTCCAGCTTGGGCGACAGAGTGAGACTCCATCAAAAAAATAAATAAATAAAAGAAAAGAAAAGGAAAGAAATGAAAAAGTTATGAAGACCTGACTGGAGTCAAATATGCATTAAATGGATTTAGCTGTTATTATTTGAGTGCCCTGTTGTGTTTAAGACAAACTACAATTGCTGTATGTTAGGTGGAAAAGAAAGTAAATATTAAGAGTAAAATATGAATCATCCCAATTAACATTGACTATAACTCAAATCGGGGGATGTCCAGAAAGACCATCAATCAGTGACATGAGAGAAGTACAATAAGGAGTCTTTTTACTAGCATAGGAATGCATTTGTCTCATCAATCACCTTCCATGTGCAGAAAGCTATGAGGAATAATACCATCTCTTTAAGAAAGTGACAGGTCAAGACAACACACACACATACTGAGAACCAGTTTACATAGCACAGAAAGGTCCTGTTAATTCTGCTACTTCTCCTGACACCTTCCTTAATAAACACCCTGAGTTTGCTAGGATAACATGAGGAAATCAGAGCCTAGTTTGACTCATGGATACTTCGGAAACTTGATTGATTTCATGATACCAAGCTCCAGGACTCAACTTTGATAAGGATTATATGAAGTATTAGATTGGTACAAAAGTAGCTGCAGTTTTTGCCATTACTTTTAATGGGAAAAAACTGCAATTACTTTTGCAGCAACCTAATATGTCCCTGCCGATGGCACAATACTTTTGACAATTCCTGCCCAGTTCAGTTTCTCCCTTCTATTGATACCAGACCCCACCACTCACCCAATTAGCCTTTCAGTCAGGGATTTCCTTAGTATTGTCACTTTGCGGTCACCAGAAAAATGTTGCTGGACCCCATGGGTGGGTATCGACACAAAGCAACAATACCAAGGAAACCACCGACCCAAAGGCTAACTTGGGTAAGTGGTGGGGTACCTGGGTAAAGGATAAGGTTGGGTTAGAGGTCCAATTTAGGACCCTGTTTAGCATGTCATCAAGAAATAAACATAAAAGTGGGCAACCAGCAGCCCTTGGGGCTGCTCCATGGAGTAGCTATTCTTTTATTCCTTTGCTTTCCTAATAAATTTGCTTTCACTTTACTCTATGGACTTGTCCTGAATTCTTTCTTGTGTGAGATCCAAGAACTCTTGGATCTGGAACTCTTGGGGTCTGGATCGGACCCCTTTCCAATAACACAATCATCATTCAGACCATACCCACTAATAATTAGGAAGACTATTGTTGGGAGTGACTGCAAATATAATTTCCTTCAATTCAGTTTGGGTTTTTTTGGGGAGGAAGGTAAGATGTTCAGGGAACACATCTTTTTTTCCCCTAGTTTTACTAAGATGTAACTGACAAATAAAAATTTTATATATATATTTACAGTATATGTGATGTTTTGATATGTGTCTACATTGTGAAATGACTACCACAATCAAGCTAATTAACATGTCCATTGCTTCACATAGATTTTTTGTTTGTAGTGAGAACACTTAAGATCTACTCTCTAAACAAATATCAAGTATAAAATAACAGTATTTTTAACTGTAGTCACCCAGTCATCATGCCGTCGTCCCTGGAACTTATTTTCCTTCAACTCGATTTTTTTCATCTTGTGGAGTCTTATGCACTGTTTTATTTGGGAGGCTCTTGTACCTACCCATTAGCTATGGAGAAACTCCCAGATAGGTCTATATCCTCACACATGCTGAATCATATTGCATCTCCAACATCCAATAAATACTAACTTCATCATAAATCCTAAGGACACTGTTTAACTATACACCAAACATTAAAAAAAAAAAAACCAACTATAAAGAGCATCTGTTGGGTCAGGCATGGTAGTGCATGCCTGTAATCCCAGCACTTTGGGAGGCCAAGGCAGGAGGATCACAAGGTCAAGAGATCAAGACCGGAAGCTCTCGGTGAATGCACGGAGAGGGTGAGTCAGGGCCACATTTCCACATGGATCTTTGTTGCCCACAGAACGGGGAAATTCCCAGCTATAAAAGAGACGCGAGACGCCAGGCAGAGGTTTTGGCTGGTGCAGCCGGCAGCCGGTGTGGCCAGCGGCCGGCGCTGTAGCACAGTGGCGCTACACAGAGCTCCGCACAAAGCGCACTGGTCCTGGTGCCCTGTTGAACCGG